TATTTATAACCCCAATTAGGGGACTTGTAACCATACTTACTAAGTCCCATGATCCTCCAAGTAAATGCCCGAGTGAGTTTGTTTCTGATTGGTCTTGGGGTAGCTAAAGTACAGTTTCCATAAAGAACTCGCGGCCAGCTGCTGTGGAGGAGAAGCTGCAACATCTGGATTTTGCCACATGGCTGTTGAACTGGCAGCACTCCATTGTCACAGTCCTTCCATGTTCCGTTTGATTTCTCAGAGTTTGGTTGCTATGCAGCGTTTGCAGACTTTTGCCAGAAGGGAGTCCCCTGTGGATCGCTCCGACATGAACCGCTTGCACCTCAAATCTTTGGGAAAGCATCATGGTAATTGCTGTAGAAAGTCCTGCAAACCTTTCATGGTGCGGATCGGATGACTTTTCTGTGCACCCGAGGAGCTACACCGACGCTACTTCGATGCGGCGGCCAAGCCCACTGACTGGACGCAGGCGCAGGCCAGAATGAGGAGAGCCAGAAGGAGATACACCTACGTTATTTTAGTATACTGTAGTATATTACCTAGTATTTTACAAAGTATACTATACAGTATATTATATGGTATATTAAAAAGTCTATTACAGACACAGGGCCATAAGCCGTAGGATTCGCTCGCATTTGACCTCTTTCCTGCGCCATCCACGGGTGCAGCTTCAGGTTGCAGAAGGCAGACTTGATCAGGGGGCTTCTGTCTGGTGCTTGGTAGGGAATGGGGGAATGGATCCCTATGATAGTCCCTGAAGGTCCCTTATAGTAGTCCCTATAACCCATTCCCCCATTCCCTACTAAGCACCAGACAGGCTTTTGATGTATCGTTGCGGGGAGCCTAGTCCAAAGATGTCCAAAGCAGGGTCCAAGCATATCCCAGAGAGCCCAATACCCCTTAATACCATAATAATAGGGGCCCCATAACCCTAAACCCTGAACCCTAAACCCTAAACCCTAAACTCTATATTCCTTAATTAAGGGGTATTGGGCTCTCAGGGATCATCCTTTAGTCGCCTGCACCTGCACGGAGGTCGCTGCTGCCTCTCCACCCCTGCTGCCGCCGCCCCCAGGAGACTGACTTTCACTTAGCTTGAAGTGCGGAGGTCTTAAACCCTAACCCCCTAAACCCTAGACCCTAAACCCTAAACCCTAAATCCTAAACCCTAAACCCTAAACCCTAAACTCTTCAAGCAAACGTTCGTAGCTTCGGAGGCGGTTTCTCTTCGCCGCTGTCTGTGGCGGGGTTGGAGCCTGCTTCGCCCACGTCACCGGCCCGGAAGACGCCGGGGACGCTCTACGTCTCCATCCAGGAGCCGGTTTAGGGTTTAGGGTTTAGGGTTTAGGGTACTAAGCAACGATCGTGGCACCCTTGAAGCCTTTGAAACTTAGGGTTTCGTGCCGACATGGTGCAGGCGGGCCACAATTTGATGAATCGGGACACTGGCATCTTGGGAGATGCAGCCTGGTGTGATTGGGCTCAGATGCGAGCTACTGAAACACGAAAAAACGCCAAGGTCTCAGATCCATATGTCGTGGTCAAGCTTGGTCGGCAGGACCTGGAAGCGGGCAAGCGATTCAAGTTCCTGAGGGGTCAGCTGGGGGGCACGTGTTTTCCACGAGCCTCCAGCCCCGACATGCCAGCTTTTCCAGTGCAGGAGTTTACCACGCCGGCTTGGAGCTCAGTGGCGTTGCATGCAGTGCCGGCGCAGGGCTCCTGCTTGTCTTGTGAGCTTGCCACTCAGCATCCCAGCTTTCTGCCAGAGCTTGCCCTAGGTCATCAACAATGACCTGAATCCTGTATGGCACGTGGACAACAAGTTCACTCTGTGTTCCTGTCAGGTTTAGAGTCAAGCGTGGTTAGTCCATGAAAGCAGTTTTTCGGGGATGACTGTTCTCAGGGGTTGGTCGGTGCTTGAAAGTCGCCAGGCAGGTGGACAAAGAGAGCTTGTTGGAGCTGGAAGTAAAGAACTCGACGCTCTGCGGAACTTTGGGCACGAGAGTAAAATGTAAAATTTCTTTCAGATCTTGCAGGCAAGAACCGTGTTCATACTTACAGAAATGGAACTCACGGTTCACACTTCTATACATGCACAGACAGACACACATGCATGTGCGCACACTTGCCACGAGGTGTCGCCAGATCTGTAAGAATCACTTGTGTGCAATCAGCATTCAGGTGCAGCAACGGTGTAAACAGCGAGGGCAATCAATGTACAGCGAAGATTCTGGCTGCAATTGCGTAGAAATCATCGCGGCAGGTACGTCTGGCTGATCAGATAAATTTCACCATGCACTGACTGTCTTCCTTGGGCAGCGAGTGTCAGACATGCACTGGCCCCCTGCATTGCACTCTCCATCTAGGCAGAACTTTTAAGGACAGAGCTTGACTGACAGACGCACACACACACATACACTTTACACACACACAGAGACACAGACACGCACACACACAGAGACACGCTCTTTCGGGCTCAGTTGGAAGGCAAGAAGTACGTCGTTGCAAGCTGAAGGCCCTAGACCCTAGGCGCGCCCACCCGGTCTCTGACTATTTCAGTAAAGATGGAAACGGGTGCAAGGTGAGGAAACAGGAACAGGCGTGCTCGTATGAGCGAACAAGAGGGAATGACCTCATTCATACTTGGAGGTTCATGGGTAGTTATAAGTAGGGTTATAAGTCCCCTAATATGGGTTATAATTATAGTTAGCTTATGACTCCACTTATAACTACCCATGAACCTGCAAGTACTCTGCTGCAAGGAAAACATGAAGTCCAAAGCTCCTCTAGTCCATGCATGTGGGAGTTTAGGGTTTAGGGTTTAGGGTTTAGGGTTTAGGGTTTAGGGTTTAGGGTTTAGGGTTTAGGGTTTAGGTTTCCGAAAATAAGGGGTACCATATTTTGGGTTCCTTATAATAAGGATCCTACTATTTAGGGTACTATATTAGGGTCCCCTATTTTCGGAAACCCCCATGTAAAGACCTGTGCACATGCCCTTGACCGACACGCACAAAGAGCAAAAACAGTAGAAGAGGC